TACCGCCGCGCGGCAAGCGTTTCCGCGTTTTTGTCTGCAGAAGCCATAATGGCTCCCGCAGACAGAACGCGGCAACGCTTGCCGCGCGGCGGAAGTTGCCTCGATAGCCAATCAGCGTCTCGCCGGCAAGATATTGATTGGTTATCGTGTCAACTTCCGCCGCGCGGCAAGCGTTTCCGGGTTCTGTCTGCGGGAGCCATTACTTGAGGGTCCCTATTGGGTACTAGAGTACCTATAATGAGAGTATGGCCATAAGAGCGGAAGTCGCCATTACTGGGACTACGCCGGAAAGAACGGAAAAACGCGCGCAGCGTTTGAACACAGCGAAGTGCACATCTTCACTCCATTTAACGGTTTTGCACCACAAGAAATGCATCGCCCCATGGTTGTTGTCTGAAACTCGAGTTATAATAAAACGTACACCACGCTAATCCATTAATATCCAAAAATACAATATATTTTTACAATGTAAAGTGAAAGGTAAAAAGTAAAACGTCTACATTTTAATAACAAAATAATTTATAAATAAAATTGTACAATTTAACCCTCAGTTGTCATATTGGGTATGGCATATTCGAGTGATTTTTTCATCGGACTGTACTGTGCAAAAGTATTGCAAAAGTGTTTTTATCATATTTAAAGTAAAAATACAGCAATTCAAAAATCTTACGGATGCAATTCACACAATGCCTTCTTGATGACAGCTCGAACGGGACTAACCTTTTGGCTACGTATACTAGTAAGCAGCCTGATACACCGATTCACAGACTCACTAACATACCGATTTGGTACCGATCCTACATATGGCGGCACCAATCACGAGAAGGTACGCTTATGGCCATACTCTCATTATAGGTACACCCACGGTAATTAATTCTGTCCCTCGGAAATTTTCACAAAATAAAAAATGACCACCTTTCTATATTAATTGTCACAATCCATGCACGATTAACGTTACGACTGAATCTTATCATGCATGAATAGTGACAATTATTATAGAAAGGAGGTCACTTTTCATTTTGTGAAAATTTCCGAGGGACAGAATTAATTACCGTGGGTGTACTCTATTGGGTACATGTCGCGTGCGCCCTCTGCCATTTCGAAAGTGTACTATAGCCTAAAATGAGGGTCGTTTCTTAACATGGGTTGTATATGGAGCCTTTCATTCTTCTTCTCCCTATTCTTTGGATGGAAGGTTCCGATTGCCTACATGCATGATTGCACACATTGCTTGTTGATTGTCCAATTTAAAAATAATATAACTTCATTGATAAAGCAATGAAAAGATACTATGCACCGGCCAATGTGGTGTGTACAATCGGGAATGTAGGCAAGTAAGACCTTCCCATAATATATACATACTAATAACTTAAAATAGAACGCATACACATCACTGTAAGTAGTATATATTTGATGCGTTAAAGCCTCAATTGCCATCCATTTTAAAGGCAATTTACCATTTCCTTTTTTTCGATAAACATTTTCTTGATAGATATCTCGGCTAAGACCAAAATCTGAAATTTTCACCACTCTATCTGGTCGCACTAATACATTACGTGCAGCCAAATCACGATGTACTATTCGATTAGAAGATAAGAATTCCTAAACACAATATCCATCGTATACTGATTTATGTATAAATTGAAATAATAGAATTAAGAAAGTGGTCGTACTATTTTAAAATGCAAACTCAATATTATATATCAATTATTAATATATTGACATGACTTACCATTCCTGTAGCTACTTGTCTAGCAAAATTCAATAAATCGGCAGAAGTAACATTATCTATATATTTAGTTACATCTGAAAAAGCGTTAACGGAAGAATTTACGTACTGCTTACATTATATACATATATTTGATTGTACGTATGCTGTGTGATTTACCTTGTTGAATATCATATAAGCGATTGGCGATTGTATGCGTTATATTCTGATAGTTGAAAACACATTTTTCTTCATAATAGAAAAAATATTTTATTTAAATATTGGAAATTATTATCACACATATAGTGCATAACAATATGTAAACATACATGCACGTATGTACATACACAATGGGTGTATTCCATTTAACATTTGCAACACTCGCGTGGATCATTTCATCCTTATATAATGTTTAATCAGAATAATAGCTTTTGCATATTAGACAATATTGGACCCGGAAACGCTTAAGCTCCAGCACACTGGACGCGGAAATGCTTGCAGCGCGTCAAAATGTGACGCGGTAGACAATGAGCTTACAGATAACATGGGGTGTATCCAGAAGCACAACTGCTCACGGAGCGCTCAGTGAGCTCTTGTATCTGTTTGGTTTATATTTTTAGATCTAATAGAATAGGCGATTGTCACCAAGCTTCGGGGCCTCTTTCACTAACGCCGATTAACTTAATCGACGATTAGTCCATTGGAATTGATCAATCGCGTCTGTCGTCAAAACTAAATGACAAATGCGATTGGTCAATTCCAATGGACTAATCGTCGATTAAGTTAATCGGCATTGGTGAAAGAGGCCCTCGATTAACTAATCGGCCTAGTAATTTTGCAGGCTTCCAACTGAAACTGATGCCAGAGCTGAGCTCACATTAATTCTCCGACATCAGTTTCAGTTGGAAGCCTGCAAAATTACTAGGTCGATTAGTTAATCGAAGCTTGGTGACAGTGGCCCATGTCAATCAGTGCTGCGTTCGGAAATATCACTCGAGTACCCCCGTGTATCGTCTTATCCTTGTTATTCATTCAATGTTAAACAAGGATACGACGATACACGGGGGTACTCGAGTGATGTTTCCGAACACAGCACAGATAAAAAAGCTCACTGAGCGCTCAGTGAGCGGTCGTGCTTCTGAATGCACCCATGTTCATTGGCTACCGCATCGACATATAGTATGGACTGCGCGATCCATTCATACCCAGACAGCACAGGATGTCCTACGGACATCCGTTTCATGTCCATTTCTGGTCGGGATGTCCATGGACCTTTATAAGCTGTCCATAGGATATACATTTATGGATGCTCTACGGATATCCCTAAATGGACAAATTTGTATATCCATATGTTGTTCGCAATGCGGATTTCGGCGCATATAGCTCCCTCGATCTATGCCAATGCCATCTGAATATGTAATTCTGCTTCCGATTTCTCTTTTGTTTCTTGCCATTTTGAAATAGCCGTGAATCTTGTTGCATCATCCGTCGTGTTGGATGGACACGTTTTTGTCGGGTACGTGCTTGTTTCCGCGTTATATTTTTGAAAAGTGTTGCGCCGACTTTGACTGTGCCGTGCGATTACTCAAAATCCGTCTAGCGGTCTCGCCATTTTGGATGTCCCGTTCGTTCATCCTGACGCGCGTGTTAGCGGCGTGACGACGTCGTGGACGCAAGCAGTTAGGTTAGCCGGTGTTCGGGCGATTCTCGCCATTTTCGCGGGTTATGCATTTTTTAATTGAAGACATAAGGTTTATTCGCGTCGCATGCTCTAACATGCTCCAATATGCTCCTAACATAGCTCTTACTCTCTCCAACGTGCTCGTTGAAGTGAGCAAGAGCTATGGTAGGAGCATATTGGAGCATGTTGGAGGTTGGAGCGTGCGATGCGAACAAACCTTAAAACTGAAATAGCCGTGCAAACGGTACGTGTGCGTGTACTGAAGTGCGAACCGTGCCGTTGTGCTCGTCGTGAGCATCGTCGCAATCGTCAAGAGCATCACTCGCAATCGTCAAGCATCGTCGCAATCGTCGCGGACGACGAAGTGAGTGATGCTTCTTGCTTTTATTTAATAAATTAAAAAGATGAAAAATATATTTTGAATAATCTTTATTCAATATATAATATATAATATTTATAAAAAAAATATTATATATTATATATTGAATGAAGTTTATTCAAAATATATTTTTCATCTTTTTAATTTATTATATTATTCTGTATATTATTGCAAATCTGGATGCTCCTTTATACGTCCATTAAAAACGGTTATCGGATATCCATCGGACGTCCATCGGACATGTCAGGGACGTTTTTAGTATGTCCACCAACGTCGCAAACTGATGTCCTATGGACGTCCACTGAATGTCCGAAGGATGTAAAACGAATGTCCCACGGATATCCCAATATCCATAAAGGATGTACTATGGATATCCATCGGATATCCGTGTGCTGTCTGGGTAAATCCCCTCGAAAAGTGTCCGGTGAATTAGATAAAGAGGAAACGCGGTGTGGGTATAACCCACGAAGTAAGAGAGAAGGAGATCGAACTCTGTGAAACGTAAATGGTCCTAGTCCGTGACCCCTAATTGGGAGGGAGTCCGCTGAAAGGAATGAATTCTTATGGTTGGGCGCCAGTTTTGCAACTAACCTTACTCGAACAGTCCGGCCTGGGGCTCTATTCTTGAAAAGAAACGTATACGAAAGTCTAGGGAAATACTATAGTATACGTTACGTATACTATAGTATTTTCATAATTTTTCGTATACGTTTCTTTTCAAGAATAGACCCCCTGATCCATTGCTTGCATTAGACGAAGAGGTCACGAAGTAAGAGATCGTGGGAGAGGTTAAGAGTTCCAAAAAATTAAGAAAGGTGAAATATTGAATATTTAATATTAAAATGAATATTATATTATTATATTATTGAATATTTAATCGTTTAAAT